GAAAGCAGCAATCAGAACTTGCTTGACTTCAGAGTCGTCCTGAAAATCGAAAATGCCAGCAGCGCATCTCGACGAAGCGAATCCGTCAGGAATCCCAAGATTCCTAAACGGCACCCTGCTAACCAAAGCGACCCTTGAGACTCCAGGGGCTTCGGGCACAGACAATGAGACCTGGCATCCTCGCCGCTTCCACGCCTTAATAAAGCCTGGTGCCGACGACTGGTTGATATCGGCCTCCGCCACCGTGCAGACCTGCAACTGATGGCTGTCCATGAAGTTAGCCAGGGCATCGACAGAAGAAATGCCTTTACCAGCAAGGTTCACAGTTGCAACTCTCAGGAAAACGGCAAATTGAAAATGTCTCGGGCCTGTTGGAGCACCTTGCTCTCACGCTGCTTTTTCGCCCCGGGAGGCGTGTTTTTGCAGTGATCCTTTGCCAGCACATCAATGGCCTGGATCCGGCGCTTTGCTTTCTTTTGGGCAGTCTCCCTATTACACAGGCCTCGTTTGGCATGGGAAAGGGCATCCCTCGAAGTGCGATAGGGACCGCAGCAGTGCAAGCACATCCATCCAAAGGATGCCGCAAGACCACCCTTAACTTTGAAGATTTTGGTAGGCGCTGCCCGCGGCCAGCAGAACAACCTAAAACCCTCAAGTTCAGTGCCCTTGGCTGTGCTCAGGCGCTTGATGCACTCCCGACCTCGTCTTGTGACGGCCGCCTTATCGGTAGTGCTGGTACGGTCGAGGGCTTTGAACTTACTCCATGAAGTATCGGGATGTGCTTGCGTGCAATGGGCTCGTTTGTCAGCCGTGACTGCATCAGCGCTTTTTGAAAAAGCGTCCTGTGCTGCAATCCCGAAATCGCAAATCGGGCACTTCCAATGAAGCACTTGGCCTCGGCCAGCTCGAATCAAGGACGGTTGCCTCCGACCATGCAGCACACCTGAAGGAACTTGACCAGGGTGATGGGCTTTGTAATGGCCATAAAGCATAGTTTTTCGGGCAATGGCATTTTTTGCAGTGGCCCTGAAAGGACACAAAGGACACACAACAGCAGTCTTACGATCGAGACACAGTCCCGCTCGGCCCCAATACCTGATTTGGCGATCAGTTGGTGGTTTTGGGACCGTGGGGAGTTCGTCATCGCACTGCTCCTGGCTTGCCCCTTCCGCCGTCTCAGAGACGGCCGGGAGCACGGACACTGCATCATTCGTGCCTGACGCCGCAGCAGGGCCGGACCTGGTCCAAACAGACCCTTTGCTCGATTTGATGGTGACCTGGGCCGTTGTCCAGACCGACTTTCGGCCGCACGAGCGCTGTGAGGTCGAAGTCCAGACCGAGTGTTTCGATTCGGCAGCACTAGTTCCAACAGAGGAGGCCTTGCCACCCCTCGCATTGGCACTTTAGGCGGGGCCGTCACGACATCTCGCAATTCCTGTGGTAATTTATCGACTGGTTTGAGCCACTCGTAATGGCTTCCAGTGAAAACTAAAACTACGACCCTTTTGCGCTGCTGAACGTGGACAGCACAGACCTCAAGATTCGGCGACCTGGGGTAAATGACGAATTTGACGTCAAATATACGTCCTAGTGCAGCTAGTTCTAGGTGGCCAGACCATGTCCCGACCTCCGCGATGGCAGTGATATACTCGCTGAACGACTTGGCGGGAGCCTTGTTAGGCATCTCCTGGTCCCAGGCAAGTTCATACCGTTCCTTGTGTTTGGAAAAGTGTTGTGCTACTTTAGCTCTCAAAACATTATGCGGTTCGGGCTTGGTCTTGAGAACATGAGCTAAAGCAGCCGATGCGGCATGGAAAAGGCAATTGCCGTCGGTCGGGGCACTTTCCTGTACCATGCCTTTAGGAAGATCCCGGGTTTCAGTGCAAGTGCGCTTGGCAGCACCCGTACCTTTGCTCGGGGAGCCCCGTTTGACCTCCTTCTCGTCTTTCGCTTCCTTGGACTCCGGATCGGCCTCCTTTGAAGCGGCAGAGTTCATGGCTGCATCCTTCTCCTGCTGGTCTTCTTCCTCACCCGACTGAGCAACCTGTGCAACCTTGGTGGTTTCCCCAAAGGGGTCACGCGGAGGCAACAGCGACCAAGATCCATTCGTGCGGATAGTCTGGGCTTGGGGTCTGGCACGGACCGGCGCCCACCTGCACCACATGATTTCAGTCTGATCCCCGTCATCAAAGGGCAGGGCAACAACATCGTGATCAGTGGTATGAGCGGCTTTGAAAAAGAAGTTGATTCCCTTGCGGGTTCGCTGCTGGCGAGTCATGGTCACTTCAGCAAATATGCTCGACACAGCCTCGAGAGCCTGGGCCGCACTCCAATCAAATGGGGCATGCTCAAGCATCCACATCCTGGTGACAGCTTGACTCGCATCTCTGGCAACCCGTTTCCCCAGGCCCCTCCGACCAACAACGATGCCGTAAGGGGCTTCAACAGTCCGGACTCTTTGCAGGAAGTCAAGATCACTTTCCTTGGGCTCTTTTTCCGCCCACTGCACAAAGAATGAAGGAAACGGCGGCCATCTCGGTGGATCTACAAAAATGCCGTCACGACCACTCAGTGCAACGAAGGCCGTAACGTCGGCCTCAGGGACTCTAAAAAGGGCGTAGACCTTATGATCTTCCCCCTGAGCTTGCTCCTTGGCCCAGCCCCAGCTGTCCTGGACCTTCATATGCTGTTGCGCGATCCAAGTGTGGAAAGCTCGCTGGGGATTTGCAATGACCTCTTTCCAGGCTGCCTTGGAAACATACTTCTTATAAATCCTCACATACAGGACTACTGTTTTTGCCGGCATCACTTTTTGAGCCCTAGCTGCTGCAACCTTTGGGCCCGGCAGGTCAATTCCAGCCGTGCTGATGTGATGGAAGTGGACCGGCTTGAACACACAGCTGTTCCCAATGGCCCCAGGACAGCGAGCGGAGGCATCAGGGTGGTCCGGAGTGACAGCTACAACCCCATGAGGTCGCTTGGATCCAAGCAGCAGGGTTGCTAGGAGATCGGCTTGTCCTTGCTCACAAAGCACTACAGCTTTATAAACGCCAGTGGTTTTTTCCAGCTCACCCGCGACATCTTCAAAGTTTACAGCCGGAGCAGTCCAGTCTGAGGATCGAAGGCTCCACGGCGCCTGTGATTTTCTGCGGTCAACAATCTGCCATTCATCGGTTGGCTGCGCTTCGGCTGCTCTTGGCTGGCCTTTGCCTTTCGCGCCATCGCCTTTGCCGCGGCCCTGGCCGCTCTCAGCAGGCTTGCCGCCTTCGTTGCCACGACCGTGTCCCACAGCGCCCGGCGATGGATTGTTGCCGGGACCTTTTGCACCGCCTTTGGCGCCTTTGGCCTTGCCTTTGGTACCGGGCGGACTCCTGTCAGACTGAGTGGCAAGGGCACTGGAGGCAGCAGATGAGTCCTCTCCAGCGGTCGCGTCCGACGCTTTGCCGTGCTTACGCTTGCGCCGCTTCGGCCCCGGCTGTTCAATCTCCAAGCCTGACCTGTCCCCAAGCGAGAGGCCCTGCAAGGCTTCCTTGATGGCCTTTTGCACTGCAGCCTCAATGAAAGCACGGATGTTCGAGGCAAAATCAGGCCCCAAGATACTGCCTATGTCAAGGTTGAAGCCGCTTTTACCCTCGGATCCCTTAGGTCCTGGGTGACTCGCTTCACCGACACGCACTCCAGAATGGTGACCAACATGTTTGCAGCCGAGGGATACAGGTTAAGGGCAGTGCACACCCAACCCACATGGCAGCCTCAAAGATGCAATCAATAAATCCCGGGTCCTGGGACTCGCTGATTCCTGGACTTCTCGGCCTCAGGAGGTCAGGGTTCCTGGCCTCAGGTCGGCAAAGAGCAACATGTGCATTATGCTCGGCGCTCCTAGCAACAGTCTCGGTACCTAGGGATATACTCGGATCTTGCGATCTACTTGAACCCACAGTACCAGTTGACCGTGCAGTGTGCAGCCACAACTGATCGGAATGAAGACTCGAAGCGGCGTCATCACAACAAATGGCATCAGTGGATTCGGCGCTCCAGGGAAAGCAAGCGGTACTAAGGGATATACTTGGATCTTGCGATCTACCTGAACCCTCCGTGCCCTGCAACCCTGTATGCTGCCTGTTTTGTTCAAGTTCAGCAGGTTGGTCCCAAAGCATAAACCAGACAGCACTCGCAGTGGATGTTCTCGGGTCTTTCGACCGGCCCTGACCACTGGTCGCGCGGCCCGGTACTTCATCATGAAACGCGGTGACTTCTCCTAGCAATCCGGGACAGTACCTCAGCGCAAGATTAACTGAATCATCGCTGGCTGCCGTGATTTCCTCGCACAGCAACCCGTTGAATGCTATAGCACTGGGTCGCTCGGCTTCAAGATTACAAGCACTGCAAGTGCCGCACTCGGGTACCCAACTAGACCCACTAAGGAGAGGTGAGGCCCTAAACCTTAGGGTTTGTGCAGGGGAAAAGTCGTCGCTAAGGGCATCGCCTCCACCCTAAACCCACCTAAAGTGGGCGAGGTCCTAAACCGAAGAGGGTCACTGGGGTCGTCGTCAAAACCATGTTGATTGTCATCGCTCGCAGTCGTCTGGCACACGGGTACCCCCCAAATCCCACCTAAAGAGGAAGAGGTCCTAAACCCAAGGGGGGTGAAAGGTTCGTCGTCGTCGGCGCCCGGAAGGCTCCCGGGTAACCCACTAGACCCACCTAGGGAAGGGAAAGGCCTAAATGTGAAGCCCTGTGTTAATGTTGGTATTCGCAGTCCTTACTTGTTCGACAACAGTGCAAGATCATGATTTGTTTCGGGCATTCACCTGGAGAACCCTCACATCCCGCACCTGTCAGGAAGCAAACCGCGAAGGCTTTTGGTCCAAGCAAAAAGGCCGCATCGAGGCGGGACCGCTGCTGTTGCGCGGGGCTTGTGTTTTCCTGTAGGTAGCTGTAGTTTCAAATTGGTAGCGGAGCCTAGTGTGCTCCAGTAGTCTGTAGTTCTTGCTGTAGCAATGTCGGGCGGTGTTGAAGTTCCTGGTGATGTTCTGCCGGGAGCTCGCGGTGACGATGAACCTGCCGCCTCAGAGCAGGAAGTGTCCGTTGGAAGTGAGCGACACGAGAGCACTGGAGAGGAGTGGGGATACGACTACTCCGGTGATGTGACGTGGTGGGAGCCCAGGTCCGGTTGGGACTGGTCGTGGAATAGACCCTACCGCGGTGATGCGCAAGGACGAAGGGCCAGCTGGACTACGAGCTGGGACGCCTACAGCACTGATGCCTCTACGCGACACGGTGGCTCCTGGGGGCGCGGCGGCGGCCACGACGAGGGATGGCACGATCATGGCGACGATGACCGAGATCATCGTTCTGACCGCGGCGATTACGAAGGAGTATGGCGCGATCCCTGGGCAGATGGTCGAGCTGGCGGACCTGCATGGCACGACCCACCGCAAGAAGATCGCTACAGGAGCTTCGCTGGCTCACCCGACAAAGGTAATCCAGTGTGGAATGGATGGAGGCACTTCACTCAAGGCGACGGCGGCTTCCAGTCCAGTGGTGGCGACTCCGGCGGCCAGAAGGGCGGCAACCCGCGGCCCTCAGAGAAGCTCTCTGTGCCTACCTTTGGCGGGGGCGACGATGATGTGGGCACGTCTGCTCGGTCTTATCTACGACAAGTGGAGGCCTGGCGGCGGCTCACTTACCTGCCACCGAATCAGCAGGGTCTGGTGTTGTACAGGCACTTGACCGGAAAAGCATGGGTCGCGGCAGAAGAGTTGAACGTGGACGCCCTTAGCAGGGACGACGGCGTCCACTACCTGATGAGTTGGCTTCGCAACAGGTACTTAGACCTCGAAGTCACCAGAATCGGCAAGGCGCTGTCAGAGATGTTTCGCAAACTCCGTCGTCGTCCCGGACAGTCTATACGTGACTACAATGCGGAATATGACAGGTTGCACGCGCGCTTGAAGGAAGTTGGATGCATGTTGCCTGAAGAATGCGCTGCTTGGTTATATGTAGACAGACTCCAGCTTGAAGACGGCGCTGAACTTAATCTTCTTGCAAGCGTAGGCAACGTCTACTCCTTGAACAAGCTCCAGAAGGCGGCGATCATCCAGGACAGAGGACTCAGGAAACCTTGGGAGTCAACTGCGAAGGGAGGCCGCAAGCCTTTCACGGCCCATGTCACCGACAACCCCGATGATGACGAAGAGGACTCAGGTCGCGAGATGATCGATGGGGAAGAGTGTGTGCCCGAGGAGGTCGCGGTTGCCTACGTCACCTACCAGACGGCGAAGAATAAGTACCGCGAGCACAACAAGGCTCGCGGCTGCAAGGGCGAGATCGGGAACAACGATGGCGGCAACGGCGGTGGAAGAGGTGGAGACGGCGCCGGTGGCGCCGCGAAGGTGCGAGACGAGAAGCTGAAGCAGATCAAAGCCAGGTCGTTTTGCTCCGGTTGCGGGCGACGAGGTCACTGGCACAAAGACGATGAATGCCCAAACAATGCGGGCACGAAGGACCATCAGGGTGCGAGGCAGCCTACTACGGTCAAAGAGGTCTGCGTGACGATGCCGGCGGAGGTCATGACGGTGAAGCATGTGAGTGGTTTGCTCTTGGGAATCACGGATACTGCCTGCTCTCGCACTGTGGCGGGCACTCAGTGGCTCCAGGAGTACATGGACCGGATCGGCGAGGACGGTGCCCAGCCTGAGCTTTCTAAGGAGTGCGAGGCCTACAAGTTTGGTACTGGGCGCATTCACTACTCGTCGTTCAGTGTGTTGCTTTCCTTCTCTCTCGGCGACAAGATCGTGCAGCTTCGAGCCTCCATCATCCCGGGAGATGTACCCCTGCTTCTTTCCAAGACTGTCTTAGGGAGGTCCAAATCTGCTGCGTGCTTCGCCTGCTTGCTCAGGCATCCGCGTGGTAACCTTCTTCGGGTTTTCTAAAGCCCCGCCTTAACACCTCTCCCGTAGTCCCGTTCACGGACAAAGGAGGCCAGGCCTTGTGGTGCGACAGGCGATCCAGTAGAGCTCAGAACAGAACCGCAACGAGTCAGGAGTGAGATTGCATCCCAGCAACCCTCCTGTAAGAGTTCAGCTGAGATCGGAGGTTGATTGAGATTTCTGGTTTGGGTTAGCGTGGGTGTTTCCCGTGCTCGGCCTTCGAACCGCTTCCTCAGTCCCTCATCCCAGCTGTAGACTGCCTCGGCAGCACAGCGCAACAGTCCAAAAGTAGACGCAGGATTGCGTCTGGAGTCTATCGGCTCTCAGTCTGTCAGCCAAGGGTTCTGAATTCGTGGTTGTCGGTGCATGCCAGCTGCTCCAGCCGACACTCCAGAAGCTCGATTCGCATTGCAAGCCGCTCTCCTTCTCCACGAGGCAAAAAGAGGTGGCGGCGGGTCAAGCGGACGTGCTAGACGGTCGCTTCACCTCAAAATCGTCTCTGGATTTGCAGTGGAGCTGAGGTCACTTGCTGTCCTGTCTGAGCCAGACCGGCATAATCTTCAAGTGGCCGAGGAATACATTGCGTGGCTGGAACACAACACGCCTGAGCGTGGGGCGGGTCTCCCTGTTTTCTTGAATTCACCTGGCCCTACGCTCTTCCCGCGGGTTCATTCTGTTCCTCCAGCGGTACCTGCTAGCTCTCCTTCTGTTTCCACTCCGCTTTCGCCTTCGATACGTGCCTTGGGTACTGATTCGGAAAGGGTTGCGGGATCTTCAGGGCTAGAGGCTTCCGGGTCGCTAAGTGTTCTTCCGAGTGGGAGAAAGTTGCCGCCCCAGCCTCCTTTTCCAAAAGATAAAACAGGAATCCCGCCATCTACTGCACCAAACGTTGGACCATATCTAACGCTCGGACAGCGAGCAGCGGTTATCTCACCTAACAATCCGTTGCTTCGCGTGCAGTCGAGATCTCCACCACAGTCCTCTTCGATCCCATCTGGATCGGCGAGCAGCGGGGTTGGACCCGAGAGGAAGCGCGCGGCGGCGAGCAGCGGGGTTGGACCCGAGAGGGAGCGCGAGGCGGCCGAACATCTTGAGAATCCACTTGAAATCGCCGCGGAGCCAGCCGAGGAGGCTGCCGAGGAGATTCTTGAATCAGCCGAGGAGGCTGCTGAGGAGACTTTTGATACAGGCGTGTCATCGGGGAGCAGAGGGACTGCTGTTCCCTCACCCGGTCGCTGTCGGCGATGCTGAGGGGCTCCAGGGCATCGAAGTCCAGGTGCTCTTTCCACTGGGTTTCCTCAGCCTCTTTGAACTGGGAGCGAGCATCCCGCGGGATCTCATCCCATCTGAGCTCCTTCTCCTGGCGTTTTTCGACGCCACGCTGTGTCAGCTCCTTCTTGGAGAAGTAGGTCTCGTTGACGTCCTTGTTGTCGTCTACAAGGTCATCTGGCCTTGTCTTTCTCTTCAATCGCCTCGGAGGTGGAGGTCCAGGTGGTACTGGATCAGGAAGCTCGATGTCGCTGAAGGAGTAGTCGGAGAGGTGGTCGTCGGCCTCCTGTTGATCGTCGCTTCCCAGTTCCATGGCATCGAGTCCGTCGGCGTCATAGGTCTCGTCGGCGTCGAAGTCCATTTCTAGCAGCTTCTCGACCTCTGCTTGGGCCCCTTCCCCTTTGATCCGTAGGTATTCTCCAACTTCTTCGGGTCCTGAAGGGCGTAGGTGTTCGGCCGCCGTAAGGCGACATCGTCCATTCTTGGAGATCCAATAGTTCTCTCCTTCGCGGCCAACCACAACGGCCGGTCCAGCCCATCTACCTCGTCGTCGATTCTTGGGTTGGTCCCAGAAGTGGACGCTCTCCCCAACTTCGATGGGCCTTGTAGTCGTACGGGCCCGCTGCAGTAGGGCTTTCCTGAGGCGACTGTCTCCTTGAGCGTGATGGAAGGCGAGGCGAGCAGCTGTACGGATGGCGACGGCCCTCTGGTGTTGTAACAGAATGTTCAATTTTCCCTCATGCCCGATTTAGAGCGTTTCACTGCGTATCTCCGTAGGTCAAACGTAGGCTCAAGCACAGCCGACAGCGGAGCTGGGAAGTGAGAAAAGATTCCCGACTCGTGCCGTGATTATAAAGGAATACTGACTTAAGGGTTTAAACTTTCATGATAGCGGAGCTGCTGGCAAAGGCCAGTAGCTGAACAAGCAAAGATCCAGGGAAGCCAGCCTCGAGCTGGAACAAGGTTAAAAAGTACAAGCAGGAAGTTACGGTTTACCAAGAGCATCCTGCCGGAGAACAGCGAGGAGTTACGGCTAAGCCAAGAGCACCTTGCAAAGTCGGAGAAAAGCGTGAAAGTGGAAGACCTTGCGCCAGTTATAGAAGGACCTGCCAAAGAAGAGAAGAGATGGAGCAACAACAGCAAGGCCCACAGCCACAGCAGTAACCGAACCCTCAAGCGGCGAGGTTGGAACAGCTGATGAATACTTTGGGACAAGCTACGGAAGCTATGCAAAGAGTTGCACAAGGAACAGCAGTGCAGCAACAACAGCTGGTAACAGCAATGGATGCATTGGTGAGAGCTCAAGCAGCACCGAAGGCGCCACCACCGAGTGGACCGCCAGCCTCAGTAAGTTTTGATACTGGAGGTAAGATCCTCAAGCCACCTGAAGCGTTCAATCCTGCGACGATTGAAGAAGAAGTGTCACAATGGAGTGACTGGTCATTCACGTTCAAGAACTTCTTAGCGTTTATGGACCAAGAATTCCGGAAGGACCTCAAGTCAGCTGAAGAAGAGAAGGATCCGATAACATCGGTACTAGACAACGCATTCTTCAGCAATGATCAAACAAGAGTGAACAGAGGAACGAAGCTTTACTCAGTGCTAAGCAGTTACTTGAAGAACAGACCTCTGAAAGTGTTGAGAAGTGTGAGCGGGATGAATGGATTTGAAGTATGGAGAAAGTTGACGGCCGAATTAGAGCCGACTTCCCGTTCAAGAAGTCTTGCAATGGCTCAAGCATTGGTTGGATTCCCGGCCATGAGCAAAGGAGCATCGCTGATGGATTACGTCTTGACGTACGAGAAGTTTACAGCAGAGTACGAGAAACTCTCAGGGCAGAAGTACGACGACAACTTGAAGATCGGTACACTGCTGAAAGGAATTCCACAGCACCTCAAGCAACATGTGATGGTCGATATCACTGATAAGACCACTATGAAGAGCTTAGAACAAGGTTGCTACAATATGAAAGAAGTAATCAGACATGGTCAGCTGAAAACATCTTGGGATCACTGAGTGTCCCAGATCCGACAACGCACACAAGCAACAAGGCCTATCAAGGACCAATCCCAATGGAGTTGGATAGATTGTACATGAGAAAAGGCAAAGGAGATGGAAAAGGTAAAGGTGATAAAGGAGGAAAAGGAACTCCGCATGGAAAAGGAAAAGGAGACAAAGGAAAAGGAAAAAGATACGGATACGGAAAAGGAAAAGGTGGTAGAGGAAGACCGAAAGGAAAAGGAAGAGGATTTGGAAAAGGAAAAGGTGGAAAGAAAGGAGGAAAGAGCATCAGGCAGGCTGAAGGAAAAGGCTACGAGAGTGACAAAGGAAAAGGCAAAGGTGGACAAAGCGGACCGGTGTGTTTCAATTGTGGGAGAACCGGCCATTACTCTTCGGAGTGTTGGTCACCACCGAAAGGTAAAGCAAAAGGAAAAGGAAAAATTCGGAATGTCCAAGAGACAGGTGAAGAAGAGTGGTATGAAGAGCAACCCAGTTCTTCTACACAGCCACAAGCACAAGCAAAGCCAGCACAAGGAGCAAAAGGAAACGAACAAGTGCGTAGGTTGGTCACAACGCCTATGCCAGTGATCGAAGAAGTGTTCGATGATGAAGATTACATAGATCTTGTAGGAATGTTTGAAGACATGGTGATGGATTACGCTGCGCGAGCAGTAAAAGTCCACACAGTGAAATGGGCGAACATCGCCGATGAAAGTGATGAAGAAGATTATAAGAAGGATGAACTTCACAAGTGGTATGAAGATATGGAAGTGGACAAGAAGAATGCTAAAAAGGCAAGATGTATTGTTCACGATGAAGAAGCTGATGTGCATCAAGTAAGAGCTGTTAACTCAAGCTATTCAGAACTCGTCGAAGTCGTACTGGACAGTGGAGCGGATTGTCATGTACTTCCGCTATGCTACTACAGTGAAGACTTAGGAACCGTAGAGTTCCCAGCTTTGAGAATGGTGATTCAAGACGCACAAGGCAACAGAATAAGAACCACTGAGACAAGAGCGAACATCACATTCGAATTTCAAAAAACAGATGGAAGAGTGATAAAGGTAAGAGATTCAGCTGTGTTCGGAGATGTAACACAACCACTATTTGCAGTAGGCAAGTTGTGGAAAGTTGGATGGGGACTTGATCCTCTAGACCAGTTCAATGCTTACTTGAAGAAGGGATCAGCAAAAGTGCCAGTGAGGTTTGCAAGAAACTCAACAGTGACAGACCTCAAGATATATAGAGCTCAAGTGACTGATGAAGTCGATGAAGTACAAGTGAGAAAGCTCACGTTGATCAAGCAGATGGAAAATGATCTTGAAAAGATGAAGTATCAAGAAGGATGGTTTTTCATGACAGATGGGAAGCCAGCAAGGATCGATTATGACAAGTATACAACATATGACCCCACAAGCGACGATGTGAAAGCATTCAAGTTCAGAACTACTTTGGTATCGAGGTATGAAGGTGACACCATCATATGGAGCGAACTGGAGTTTGTGGAGTGCGCTGAAAAGTGGGAAGATCGAGAAGAAGTCTCGATAGATGCAGTTGAAGAGAACTCGGTTATCATCACGATCTTGGAGAGAAAATCTCTAGGACTTGAAGAGTATGGCGAGTACGAGAGAACACCGCCAAAGAAGAAAAGAAAAGAACAAGAGAAAGAAGTGGAAGCAGCAGACGTGGAGATGCCAGCCCAAGAAGAGAAGAGTACCAAGAAGAAAGTAGAA